TGGCTCCAGGCTGGGCACTGGGTGTTGCTATCACTTTGTACTGGACTCCACATTTGTATTGCATGAAAATATTTTAAAAATCCTCTTATCCCTGGGGAGGGTATAAAAAAAAAAAAAAAAAAAAAAAAGAAAAATTTCTGTTTTCCACAACCAACTCTTTCAGATTTCTTTTTTAGCCAAATAAGACTGCAAGCATTTATGGCTTTTTTTTTATGTTATTGTTATTTTTGGCAAAAATAGGAACATGAACTGACCAAAACCAGAAATGTTGCATACTTTTTAGCTTCCCGTGTCCAGGATGAGCAAAACACACTGGGAAAAAGAAAAAAAAAAAAAAAAAAGAATTTACAGTGATAAGGATAAATATCATTCCTATTTTTCATTTTCAAGACCTATTAGAAGCAGAGGTAAGGAAATCTATTTGTTTAAAAAATGTGATTTTTGAAGTGACCACAATGTTCCTTTTAAACTGCACTGAAATACGAGATAAAGACAGAGTCCTGATTGAAAGAGTGCTGATGGCGCTTTTATTGTGTGATTTGCCTTGTTTTTTTTCTGAAGTACTTCTTTTTAGCCGATTACCATGTATTTACAGTTAGTGTAATTATATCTAATTACTTAATTAGCATGAATACGTGTAATTACTAACTTCAAATATGTAATTATGTCAGGGCAGCCTGTAATAAATGAGGTTGGAAAAAAACCCTCATTAGGACTTTATGGAAGGACGGCTGCTCCACCCGTGTGGAGAATGCATCCCAGTCCCCAGACTGCGCCAGCCCTGGAAGAGGAAAACACAGCCAGATCCAGTCGTGTCTGGTGAAAACCTCCACCAAAATCAAACTACTTGCCCCAAAAGTCTAGTTTCACAGTGCTGGTGGGAACTGAGCATCCGCTGCTGGAAGGCAGACAGGGATCTGCAAAAGATCTGCCCCCCAGATTAATTTTCTCCATTGAGGTTTGGATTTTTTTCTCTGATTTGTGTCATTCTCAGGAAGACCTATTTTGTCAGATGAGAAACATGAGGGAACAGAACAACTCCAAAACTGTGCCGTGGCATTTGAGTAAAGCTTGAGAGATCAGATCCAAGAACTAATCTGCATCTGATGCATTGTGCTTATAATGAATTACTACCTAATTACTACTATTAAAGAAAACAATCTTCCAAAATGTTTCTTCTGAAACATTACCAGTCTTTCACCACAGAAGTCTCCAGTTACTTATAATTACAAAATCTGAATTTTGCAAATTCAAATCCTGAACATCAGGAGATGGAGCGAAGGCAAGAAGTTGCTGTTACTGCCAAGCCTGCCCATCTTCTGGACTGACAGCCATCTTCTGGACACAAATGAAGGTAGACTGGATCATGTTTTGCATTACTGAAACACCTGACCATAGGTGGAAACCATGTGGTCCTGCACCCTATGGCCTCCACATATTCTGTCCACAGTGCTTGCCACAAGTCTCATTCTTCTCCTCTCATCTGTTTTATTTCCAAATATAGAGATGTGCAAACACATCACAACCTGTCGCTGCTCCTGCTGACATCTGCCAAGCAGATACGCCACTTGGTTTCTCTTCCATGTGTAAAATATCAGGAGAAAAAGGCTGGTTTAGCTTATTCTTCAGATTTGTGGTTGGACTGTCCCCATTGCCAAGCCCTTTGCTTAACCCTACAGAAAGGGAACAAGGATTGGTTTCAAACCCTAGTCCTGCCCAGCATGCCATGTAAACATGTACGGAGTGTCTTCTCAAAGACTCAACAGAATTATCATAGAATCACAGAATTGTTTTGGTTGGAAAAGACCTTTAAGATCATGGAGTCCAACTGTAAATCTAACACTCTAATGCTTCATCATGAGAAAACTGGGTGGTGCAGTTTCTTCGCTGGCTCTTTGAGAAGCCCCCAGCCAGGAAGGGAACAAGGACCCTGAGCCAAGCTTGTCCTCCCTGCTCCTCTAAATCAGGCAGTAGCAGAAAAGGAATAAGAGTCAACTGCAAAAATCCCAGAAAGTCACAGGCGAGAGCTGGCTCCTGCATCCTTCATGGCATCAATGAGAGGACAGCACGTCCCCAGTGAGGAACATGTGTCTATCTCCTTGAGGACACATTAATGAGAAGAGCCCACAGGACAGCATTGTACAGCAGGAGCAAGAGGGGCTGTAACTCCACGGGCAGGGAGTTGCTCTCCATATTTCAGCTGCAATTCCATTATGCAGAGCTAAGTGGCTGGGAATAAACATCCGTCATCCCTGCGTGATAAGCGATGTCTGCTGGTATAGAGGGTGACAGAAATCTATATCACATCAATGTACTATTAATACTGCATTAAGCATATAGAGTTTGATCTCCTCATTGCAGCGTGGTAATGGGTATCGGCATGTCCTCAACCCAGACGACATCCAAGAGCACAGGGATGCTTGCAGGAAGAAGGAAGGAGAAAAGCTTCATGATGGAGAGAGAAATTGCTTGCTGAAGATTTTGCTTTAACAACACCTCAGTGCAAAGGAGAGATGCTGAGTGCCATGGAGCACCTTTGCTCACAGCTGGACAGTAGCTCAGCAGGAGGTGGGTGGCAGGAGGGAGGTGACAGCTCACATCAGTACAGGCTCAGATGACTATCAAGGCATTCCCCAGCCCAGGGGAGTTGTCTCTAAAAGTGACAGCAAATGAAGAGGTGTTTGTGTCCAAGCTCTGCACAGGGGGAAAGAAAAACCCTCTGGCATGAAAACTACTGGGAGAACAGGAGCAACAAATATCCTCCAGCTCAGGTTTAAGTTGAGCACAACACATCAGATCAAACAAACTCCTTACAGTGAAAGCTCCCCAAAGCATGGTTAATTTAAAAGGTGAATTGTTAAACTTTCCAGCCTCAAGTAAAGCCACTAATGAAGTCAGAAGTTTTGCCCAACTGAAGTCCTGAGGACTAAAATACAAGACATACCAGATCCAACCTCACCTTTAGTCCCAAAGCCTGGGTTTTTCCCCGTGAATGACAAGCAAATCCAAAAAATAGAAGATCTTTCAGCCTGCCAGCATCCAGCTGTGGTTTGCCTCTTGGTAGCACCCAAAGGCAGTGCCTGTGGCTGGGGTTTGGTTTCAGCCCTGCTGCCTTGCAGCCCTGGGATACCTCGAGCTTGGAGGTGGCAATCTGCCACAGATTTCCAAGTGTGGCCATTGTCTCTAGTGCTGCTTTTCTACCCTGTGGCACTTTCCACGGGAGAAGCAGCTTCAGATGCCACCACCCCCAAGCATCTCTATGAACTCTTCAGATCCTAATCAAATAGCCCCATGAAACTCTGAGGGCAAATCCTGCTGTGAGCAACTTCTCCTGCAACCCACCCAGCTCTGACAAGCCCCGCAGGGCAAACGCTCGGAGCACAACTTCATCCTTTGAGGTTTAAGCTTTGCTACTGCACAGATGCAACAGCACCCGTGTATTGAAACAGTCGGTACATAGATTAGATTTGAGAGAACAGGAGAGGAAGGAGAAAAAATAAAGCAGAGGAGCCCCTCCTCCCAAGCCATCAGAGTTTGTAAATCATTTTGAGATGAGGTGCTATAAGAAATGTAAAATATATAATTAACAGCACAGAAAAACCACGCTGCATTCAGCTTCTCCGCTCCTGCCTAATCACCACCCTCCTCCTCACCTCTCTATAAACAGACCAAATTGAGCACATTAAAATGAAAATCAGAGGAAAGCTGGGTGGCATTCATCGGGTACAACCCATCACTCCTGCAAGCAAAGCATGGTGGCAAGGGCTCATACAATGGCTGGCTGTGCCCAAAGAGGTTTCCCCAGGGACACCTCCATGGGAGCAGTGGCTGCAGCTCCCCTTCCCCTGAAGGGAAGAGAGGTGGCTGGGGAGCTGTGTTGTTGTCAAGCGCTTAAAGCTGAATGAGTTACCAAAGGTTTGGAGATTGGCCTCCTCCCTGTTTCCAGGGGCTGGGTTACGTCTCCTGTGCTCATGAGTCAGCAGCAGCCAAGGGGAGAGCAGAGGTCACCCCAGTGCTCCCTGCTTCTGGCTGGGCCACAGAGATGAAACAAGTTGGGGGGGTTCTCCATTTTTTTTTTGTTTTGTAAGCTTTTTATTTTTCCACTTCCACCTGGAAGCAAGACACATTAAAAGGACAAGCAATAGCAGGAGAGGAATGTTCCTGAACCTCCTGCATTGCTTGGCTTGCATCTCAGAGCTGGTAAGAGGCCTGGAAGAACTCATCTACCTTCTGTAAGCAGTGTGTCAGGGCAGGCTGCATCTCACTGCTCACACGAGAAGTGGTGCAGGACTCTCAGAAAAGCATCCTTTTACCCAGTGCTTTTCTTTTACACTCAGAATTTAGGAACACAAACCAGAGATGATCACTTGATCACCACCTGCTAGTCTAACAAGCCCAGTTCACAACCCAGATTAATATGGGGAAGCAGCAAAAGCTTTACAGAAGCCCACAAAAACAAGACATCCAGCATCTAAGTCTCCTTTATCTCCACACATCTGTCCCATCTACAGCCACATGTCCTGAGCTTCTCCCTGGCCCGGCAGGGAGCCAAGGAGGCAGCCTCATGGCTGGGAAACTGCTGGAGGAAGAAGGGGAGGCAGGTCCTTTCCCTGGCCAGGCAGGGGTCACGTCCATCCTGTCCTCCCAAGGCAGCTCGTGCTCACACCTGGGACCTCATGCTCATAGCCAATGAGGCAGAGCCCAACTTTAAATGGCACTTTCAGGCAAGGAGGGAAGGTGACTGGTGGGTGGTGGAGGGAGGGTGAAGGGAGGTGAAGGTGAGCGTGGAAAATCTTCTCTGGAAGCACCTACATGTATGTTGTGATTTCTGAAACCTGAGATTCACTTTGGTTTCTGGACCATACCAAGACCCACTCTCCTCAAAGGCCTCCTTCTCTTCTTCCTCATCCTCTTAACCTCTTCTTCCTTGCCCTCCTTCCCCATCCCCCCAATCTATCCCCTGGTCCTCGCAGGGGGCTCCGTCCGGATCGGGCACTCACACGTGTCTGGCTTGTGACAGTTGTGACCTTGTCGGAAGTACTGTGGGTTCTCGATGACAGGAATCCGGGTCATGCCGATCACCACTGTGTCTGGGCCGGCGTCCAGGGATGAGGGTGTCGTGATGCCATGGTTGATGTGGTGGAGGGGACTGGCTGAATCCTCCTCTCCGCTGATCACTGCCACAGGACCTGCAAATACCACACACATCCATCAGGAACAAGAGGGGAAAGGGGACCCGCGAGCCCTGCTGACCACATGTGTATGGATCTCTGGGTTGGCAGTGGATCACCATCAGCCCCTGGACATTAAGCCTGTCCTAGCACCCCTGGCAGTTGGCCCACCCCCAGGCAGCTCACAGGACAGGGAAGACACCTCAAGTTTTCTTTCCTGGTTTTTGGGGTACTAGGCTGACAATCCTGCAGAGGTTTAAGTAGCTACAGGTGACACCACAGCAGAGGTGAGTGCTGCACGAAGTCCTCTCCTAGGCCTGTCACAAGATAGATGTGGTATACCTGTATATGTATATGTCTGTATACCCTGGTACCATGAGCTTGGCAGAACACGTAACTGAGCAGAAACATCACCCCCAAAGATGATCCATATTCACACCATTTCTCTTGCTCAGTGTGTCACCCATCTGGTATCCCCTCCTCCAGTTTCACTTGAGCGCACACACGGAGACCTTTGGTCAGGCTGATACCTGGAGGGACCTACAATGTACTAGAGCAGATCTTTCTTAGCTCTTGCTGTGTTCCATCACCACCACCACAAATGGTAACATCTCCTCCTTACCCTCCTGACCCTGAAAATCTCACAACACCAACAGACAGGCAAGGAAAAGAGGCAAAGTAGTTGCCCCCCACAGATGGGAGTAATGGAGGTCTCCCATCCCTCCACAGCCTCTCTGATGTTCATTATTTGCTCTCACTGGAGCAAGGACACAGAGGGAGTTTCCCATGAGAGGATCCCTGTGCCATGCTGACACCCCTTGGAGGCCACAGGCACCCAAGGATGACAGAGAGGCCCCAGCAAAATACAGAGAAGTCAGCACCACAAGCTTTAGGCTGAGCTGCAACAAACCCAGAAGATTCCCTCCTCCTTGTCTCTCCTAATTCATCTGCCACCATCTCAAGTACTACTTAACTCCCAATTCCTCATCTGCTACTTGCTCACAGGACCTGGTACAGATACCCAGCAGGCTGAGAGGGACCTCGTGGAGAGTTTCAAGGTGGTTCCTCTGCACTGACTCCCATGCAAAGTCCTGAAGTTACAACTCCATGAGCACGGAGCCCTCAGCACCCACCTCCTTGGTCAATGCACACAAGAGACCTTTCTACTCCCCAAGATCTCAGTATCTACCCAGCCAAGTGCTGCCTTCCTAGACTGGTCCACATGCCTCCCCCAGGTCCCATAGCATCCACTTCTGCATCTTTGTCAGCCTCCAGAGCAGATTCTCAAAACACTAGCGTGCCCAAATGCACCCATGTCAATCTCCCTCCTGCAGACTCCTGCCCCAGCCATACTCCTTACAACCAAGTGCCTGCACCCGAGAGCATCACTGGTCTTGTCCTAACCAATGGCAGACTTGTTCCCATAAGTAAAATAAAGCGATGGAGGAAAGAGCATCCATACCTGAGAGCCAAGGCCTGCTTCCCACACAGAGCTATTTCACAATATTCAGCTGTAATCCAAATTTTTGGTTTATGCTTTAGTTTATTTTTAGACCTTCTAACTTCAGCCTTTGCTGTCAGCTGCCAAAGCTGGAAACCTCAGGGGACATCAGGCCCTAATACATTATTCCCTGCTTCCATCTATTCTCACCCATCCTGGGGTCCAACCTGCCAGCCAACATCACAAATACTTCCATCACAAGGTGAAACACTTTAATCCATGCTCGAGCCATTCACACAATGTAAAACACAGGATCCTGAGGAGTTCAGTAATGTGGGGACCACACTACAACCTTCCATGAGGACCTCCCTTATACCTTCACATGGGAAGAAAAATGACACTCAACTAGAGACTTTCTTTTTCTCCTGTCTGATTGTTGTCCAAGGCTACCAGAAGCTCAAGCAAAAACAAGCAGAGATGCTGCACTGAGGCTTCAAACCTCTTCAGAGAAGCCTTTTACCTACATCACATAGAAAATGCCTCTCTCCCATCAGTAATCTCCTTCTAATTGCACAATTGCTTTATTGTGTAGCACTAGAAACAAAGAGAGGAGGGAGTCTTCAAGTCATTTTATTCTCCAGAGCTTCTGGGAGGACAGGGTGAACACTGGCTCCACACAATCATTCTGCCTGCATCAATCTAAAGGCTGCTCATTTTTGGAGCTTCAAATATCATTTGTTCTTCCAAGCAGGATATAATAAAGTTATTGTGTAATTAGCAGAGTCCTAGCAGCCATGACAGGTGTTTTAGTCACAAGGAAAAAAAAAAAAAATCCCTTTATTGTGAATTCCTTCTGGCAGGTTCTGGCTTTTTCTTTTTTTTTTTTTTCCTGTTACTCCCCGGGTCCATGTGACATCCAGCTTTTGAGACGCAAAGGCAAAATTCAGCTCTTGCTGCAAGATGCCTCTGTTGGGACTACGCACGCTGTATTTCTCCAAACACAAAAAGCAAACAGGCAATTTCAGTTTGAATGACTTTTGTTCTTTCATGTTGTCAAGTCTTTGCACGCAAACCAGGAGGACTGGGTTTTGCACGATGCCCATGTCCCTTTGGCCATACCCTGCACTGCTGGCCAGCCTGGCTGCAGTGGGAAGAGGAGACATCTGCATCTCAAGGTGCAGTTCACAAAAAAAAGTCATAAAGATATCAGCTGGTATAGACTGGTGTAAATAACTTGAGGAAAGACCATAAAGATCTCCCTTGCAGTGGAGTGGTGGGAGAGGCTATTGAGAGCTTATTGCTTTTCCTAAACACCCAAGGTGTTGCTTCAAAGGAAGGTCCCTAATCACGCAGTGGGATGTAAAAGACCTCTCTCTAGTGAATGATATGAAGGAAGTCTTCATTGTCCTCTGCTTTCAGAGCAGAAATCACACCTTTGTGACAAGGAGCAAAGAGGACATCTCCCACAGCATTAGTGCTGGAGGGAGATGGTTGATTTCATAACCAGTCATGGGATGTATACCAGTCTGGCACAGACCTAGCAGAGGACGTAGTTCTTGGGTCTCACAAAGCCCTGCCAGCATGTAACCTTTGCTGTCATCACTTGCACAGCACCTCCTCATTTTTCAGGAACATGGATCACAGCAGTGTCCCTCTGGCACAAGTAGGTTAGAAGGACATGGTTACATCTAAAAGAACAAGGCATGATCAAGGAGGTCAGATACTTGTGAAACTAAGCACAGCCAGCATCTCCTACCCACTGTTCTGATGGCAATTTCCTTGCCAATAAACAGATTCAGGGTCTGACCTCCTTTACACTCCACAGGCTTTTTTTCTGCAGCTTACTTCTTAGGAGGACTTGCCACATGTGTTATCCCTAGTTTCATGCTCCAAACCTGTCCAAGATCTATAGGGTAAGAGGTAACCATGTCTCAGCTGTTCGACAGTTGCACTCCCATTCCCCAACACACACTGGGTCCTGTGAATGGACTCGACCTCTTCGTCACCCAGCTCGAGTTGATGTGGCCAAGCTTAGACATTTACAAGATCTACCAACTCAAAATCCTCAGAGCTGAACTCTAATACTCCATGATCATCTTAACCCCTTCTCATTTTCACAGAAGTGGGAGACCCCAAGAACTGCCAAGGCAGATGCAGTCCTGACACCACAGGGGTGGTACACCACATAAAGTACATTCTATCTTCGCAATAATCCAGGGACAGATTACTGCCTCTGACTGTATTTCCAGGTCTTGAAAAAAAGAAACCAAAAAAAAAAACCAAACCCAAAATAAATCACTTTCTCCAGAGTCCAGAAGAGCACACCCAATGGATGCAATGCACTGGCTTTCAAGCTTTCAGAAACATTTCTGATGATGATAGGCACTGAACTGGTATGGGCTATAACATATCATTCAGCCAATTCACCCCAATATCCTCCACGGGATATAATTGGATTAAAGACATAATTTACAGTTGAGGACTTCTCCAAGTTTCTCCTATTAACTTTTGGAGTTGTGGGAGAGGTGTAGAAATCTGGATACCATTAACTCCTACAACACAGTATGGCTCTATCACTTCCATTCTTCTGTTCCCATGTCTTCTGACTGGCCACGGCTGAATCCATGATTGCTATCAAGCAGTCACCAATCATTTTTATAGGTTTGACTATTGCTCTGACACTCAAAACATATACTGCCATTAGTAACTCCTGGAAATAAAACAGCTACCTAGACTTCTACTTTTTATTTTTTCTTGGCAATAGCATATATTTTTTGCCATTTAGTAGGTAAAGAGGTTGAGTGTCTGATGTATAATGCTGATGAATTGCTTTATTTGGAAGAAGTATTATCAGCTTCAGCAGTGAGTTTTCCACGTAAGGTTAACAGAAAAGATGGAGTTGGGGGTTTTTTGTAAGAAAAAAAAAAAGTACATATTTTAAGATTTAGGTTTACCTTCCATTTGACAAAGAAATGGGCAGAGGAACATAGAAAATAAAACAGTTTTGTAGCGTAAAAATACAGAATAATAGTCAAGGGTAGTTTTAACTCCTGATATAACATCCTATGACCTTAAAACACAATATAAATTGGAATCATAGAATGGTTTGGGTTGGAAGGGACCTTAAAGATAGTCTAGTTCCCCCCCCCCTGCCATGAGCAGGGATACCCCCCACTAGACCAGGTTGCTCAAAGCCTCATCCAACCTGGCCTTGAACACTTCCATGGAGGGGGAATCTAAAACTAAATATTTAGGAGCACTTCTGAAACTTAAAATCTAAACAGTGAGGCAGTAGCTGTTTCTGTGAATAATTCAGCCTGTGCTGTGGACAAACATACTCCAGATATTAACTACAAGAGTCTTTTTTTTAATACTTTAGGAAGCCTTTGTATGTTCTGAGCATCGAATATGTCGTGTCTATGCTCTGAAAGGCTTTTGATGGCTCGCTTTCCACCAAAGGAGGGGTCTCCCCAGCCATCAGCATCCATACTGCCTGCAAGAAGAGAAAACAGATGATCTCCATGCAGTTTTCCTGCCAGGGAAGCAATGTCAGTAGCAGTGGTGGAGCCACAGAGCT